CCAGTTCCAGGGGATCCAACAGCCTCTTCTGTCCTCCGTGGGCATTGCATGAACACGGTGCACTTACCTAAATGCAGGCAATATGCGCATACACATAAAATAAAAATAATAAATTAAAAAATTTAAAAAAACCATAGCTGTAAGTGTGGAAATGAACAAGGAGGAAAAGACCTCCATGTACATTTTAAGCCTCAAGAAATATTTACTGGCTTTTCTTGTGTTTACTCACTGCCCCTTCTCAGTTGCTGGCTCTTCATTTCCCTCCTTGTAAACAGTGAATGCTGTGGGCATCAGTCCTAGTTGTTGCAGTCCCTGTGCAACAGTGGGATGTAGCCTGACACTACTGGATAGGCCGTCTGAGGAGTTCCTTATAAAGACCTCCACTCATGCCACAGAAAGGAATTTCAGGATAAGTCAGAATTTCAGGGCGAATCAGTATGAAGCAAGGTTGGGGTTTATTAAGAAACAAATAGTATACATAACTCAAGGGCAGATCTAGAGTGCAAGTGTTTAGAAAGACGTGCCTGGGCTGTGCTGATGGCTCAGTGGTTAAAGTGTTATAAGGTTCTAAGCATAGTTTTCAGCTCAGTTCATTAGCTGTTTTATGACTCTTGTTTGAGATGTTGCTCAGGAAAGAGTATAATCACTGTGCAGGCAGTCTTTACTTGGTTTTATCAGTTGTGTTGAAATTCCTGACTCTCAGCCAGTGGGGGACGTAAATCAGGATGTTGCTGGTGGGAAAACTCTTTCCTTTTTCATATCCCCATAATTTTCTGGTGCCTTCCATCTGCTGTTCCTCTCTAGCTCTCACATCTCCTTCTCACATTTGTATGTCCAGCAGTTCTAGTCAAGCTGAAACCTCAACTTCTCTTTCTCATATTCATCCAGTTCCCCCTTTCCACACCCCACACAGTCAGCTCAGAAGTTGACCATTTCTTACAGCCTTCACTGCTGCCACATTGCCCCTTCCAGTCTGCACCACACGAGAGAGGGCAGTGACCTGTACAACTGGAATCCAGCCACGACCCTGGAGCCTCATATCTGTGGTGAGAATCCCACTCTGCTAGTAACATAAGGCATGAGCCATCCGCCTCGTCAGGCATTTGTTCAGACACCACTTTCTTGTGAGAGGGTTTCGTAGATTATTGTATTTAAAAATCATCCTGAGTCCCAGCACTGTCTTTTCCCCGGAACATTTTTAACCTCAGTAGCAGCTATTATTTTACTTTTGTCTGTCTCTCTATTGGAGTGTATGCTCCAGAAGGGTAAAGACTTGTTTCATTTTCTAGCCTGGCATGTCCTGTAGATGCATACAAGATACTTCTCATGGAGGGGAGACAGACTCCCCTCTGGTGAGTAGTTCAGAAACTGATTGTTTTACTTCTAAAATATATAGGCTTTCTAATTGGACAGAACCTTTGAATGAAGAAAAAATAGCTATTGTACAGTGTAGGGATTTAGGTCAAAAGGGAAATGACTTTGAAAAGAAAAAAATAGGACATGAAATTGCGTGTGGGGGGTGCTGGTGAGGGGGTGGATGTGGGAGGAATTAGGAGTGGGAGGTGAATACATCAAAATACATTGTTTGAATGTATGACATCTTTTTAAAGAATTTACATTTATAATTTATTTATTGTGTGTGTGTGTGTGTGTGTGTGTGTGTGTGTGTACCACAGCATGTGTGTGGAGGTCAGAAGGTGTTGGTTTTCTCCTTATATCATGTGGTCCTCGGGATCTAACTCAGCTCTTTAGGTTTGGCAGCGTGTCTTTTACCTGCTGAGCCATCTTGCCAGCCCAGTGTGAACTTTTTTGGAAAACATTCATGGGTGTGAAAACATTATGGAACACGCTGTCTGCTGTCTTCCCTTTTTCCTGAGCTAGGAAATGTTGCGGAAATAAGTGGAGCTAGGGGATCTCCACCTTTATTGTCTGTTTTCTGGGGTCCTCTTTCATTCTGTGGACAGCAGTTTGTGCACGGGTGTAGAGGCTTTGTGGATAACAACTCTTCTTCAGCTTCAAATACTTGCTTTAGCATTTGCTGGCACACACATGCACAGATAAACCACCTTAGATTTCTACAGGCTTTAAAGTAATCCTAAAACTAATAAAACCACATCCAATCTCTGATATTTTTTTGGTACCGATTCCATTTACATTGATATTTTAGAACGAGGTAGGGATCAGATTTCATATAATATAATGATATTGATTTAGGTGGCACCACAGTTGACATACAGATGTTTGGATGGACTGATTTCTATTTAGCAGTAGACAGTTTTATTGACTTCATAATTAGTGAGAAATTCTATCAGAAAATGTGATTGATTTGCTAATGGGTCATTTAAAAGAAAAGACATTGTTTTATGTAGGCTTTTTTTTTTTTAGTTTGAATGCTTATTTGGATACCCAAAATACATGTATTTTAATGTTTTGTTTTCTGTCATTTGTCAGCATTACTTAGAACCTCCAATGAAACTAAATGAAGCTCTAGAAAGATATGGACTTAAAAATGAAGATTTTTTTGTCCTGAAGCATGGAGAATCAAGATACTTGAATACTGATGATAAAACTTTGAGCAAAGATGAAAAAAGTAGTTTCTAATGAAAACAAATGAAAAGACCAAGAAGTTCATGAATATTATGACTTTTTATACTTGGAAACACCTTCTACAAGTGTGTCTTACATTTTACTAATATGACTAGTTAATTAAACTATGAGAATTTAGGGGTGGATTATTTAATGAATTGTCCAATGTAGATTTAAATAAGTCATACCAATGATAAAATATTGCAATATAATATTTTTACTAAAACACTGTACTTTAGTGATAGAATTTTTGAGGTTATGAAAAACTGATACTAGAGGTCCATTCCCTTTTCTGTTGCTCAAGGCTTTCCTCAAAGGGGAGTTAAGGTTTACTAACTACCTAGATTTTTCAGACACACACACACGCACACACACGCACCCTACACACCCTTCTTAGATTCATCTTATAGCTGATGATAAAATTGACTCCAACATGCTGATCGAATAAATCAGCTCTTGCCCTGTGAAGATTAGCTGTTGGGCATGGTGAGGCATGTCTTTAATTCCAACACTCCAAAGGCCAAAGCAGTCAGATCACAAGTTCAAGGCCAATCAGGGCTACAAGTCAGACTTTGTCTCCAAAGATCAAAACATTATCTTCTATGCCAAATGTTAAGTGATTTATTTTGTTAAGCATAGGAACATAGGCATTTGGGCTAAGTTATTTTTTAAAGATAGTTTTTTACTGTGGTAAGATATGTATATATATATTGCATTAAGATTATCATTTATATATAGTGAAAAGAGAGTGTACAGTTCCTTGGCCTCTGTATATTCACATTCTTATGTAACGATAACCATGAGGAACTTGGGTTTCTAACAGGGTGACATCTACACATCTGCAGTTTGTAACAGATGATGGGCAGAGGGAGGGTGTGCTTTTGAGAGCCATGACCTAGTAAAAGTTTTTAAAAGACCTTCTGCCAAGCACAAATACAGCAACATAAAGTATTTCAGAGAAGATAAATATATGTCTGAAATGTGAATATATTGTACACTTGGAATTTTATTTTCTTCATTTACTGTATGTAACTAATTTTTTTTTTTCTGGTCTTGAGCTCTAACCCTAAATATATCAATAAGATTTATAAATATCTTATGTCTTACATGACTTGGATGTGCTATGTATTTTTGTATTAAATGACCTATAAGCACAACTGTACCTTTTATTAAGACATTGTGAAATACCAGTGGTTAAGAAAAAAAAAAAAAAAGATTATGGGTGTTTTATTGTATCAGTAAGTCTCTGTATTTACCTGTTTCCCCTGAACCTTCTTAAGGATGCAGGCTATGCTGGTATTTCTGGAGGTGCATTTAATGATTTTGATCCATAGACTCAGTGAAATAAACTTGAGGTTTT